CCTCACCATTATAACAATACATGGCCAAAGCTCGACTACATAAATACGTTAACTCCTAATAGGGGTCAATGACGTAAGCCCTCTGTGGTTTCTAGAACTAGAACAGAATGTTGGACGACAGAACGTCTAATTAGCTAAAATAAGGCAAATTGGCGGCGCCGAAATCGGACGCTTCATTAACACAGAGGACATGGCGAGCCAAAGAAATGTCACATCAAAATCGTTTTCCGAGAACCGTAGCGCTACCGGAGCCGAAAGGGAATTAATAAATACAAAAGGGTTATAAAAACTGTGACAGAATTAAGAGCGGGCGCGTTAAAAATGGAGGTGCGCGCGCGACGGCGACGCGAACAAGTGAAACATAATGCGCGAAACAAAGCAGCCGGAGCGAATGCCTTAAATCATTTTTAATTATGTTATGGCGCGGCTGCACGTTGGTGCGCGGGTTGGGTTACACAAGAAGCGAGCTGCCGTGCGCACGCAGCACACTAATCACGCCTCTGCGCCTGCGCACCACCGCGGCCGTGTCACTGTCCCTCCGATGTACGCTCCTGTCAAATACTGCCGCTGACTTGCTCTGCGCATCTCGCTGTAATGCTCACAACGCAGAAAGTTACTCATAAATGCGTTATTAATTCAAAAGGTGTATTTGCACATTCACTTATTACAGTCTCGCTTTACTCGGTTTGTCACATCTACAGATGCTATAACGATTAGTGTTGATGTAAGCTAGATTAGATTACAGCTCCATACATTTTTATTGCACTCTATAGAAAGATGTGTACACGATGAATAAGGAGTTTGCTTCTGGTGTTTAATACCAATTGGAATGTTTTGAAAGGCTAAGGTATCGATGTTGCGTGAGGAATAAAAAAGCCGATTATTTAAGACGCATACGTAACAGAGGTGGCTCATTGTCGGCCGGTGCTTATTTCACGGTGGCTTAACGGGTGCGCTAGTTCCAACTCATTCGCTCATTTAGTGTGCACTCTTATTCTTTCAACTGATTAGTAGCTTCAAGTTTTTATTATTAGGTTAGGTTCTATTTTTATGAAACAACTATAACTTATTGTACAAAGGAAGAACTAAAGACTAATTATGCGAATCAATGTAAAATATAACACATATACCTGAACTACTAACTAATTATTAACTAAACTAATTTATTCGTATATAAAAAAAAACATTTTATTCTAGATCAGTACGTTCGTGACCTGCAAAGGGCCCGAAACATTGGTTTGTTTGAAAAAACAAATACTTTAACGCGATTTAGATCCGAAAAAATTGTTTCATTCTACGTGTGAGAATCGCAAAGACTTAAGAACTCGATAAATTTATACTTTTTTATTCATTTGTTTACATTGTGGGTAGCTAAATTATAAACCTTATTTTAAGAGACATGGTTTAATTTCTCGGGAAATAATAATTTAAAGAAATCATTTTACAATTTATTAACCGTAATTTATATTACGTTATAGTCATTCAAAGTTTGAAATAACATAATGCTTACGTATGGTTACTCACAAAGGTGCACCTTTTACCGTCTGACGCAGTTTAGCGCTGAGTAGTAAAGGTAAACAACGAAATAGCTTGCTCCTGATTTTGATAGAACATCTGTTCATTATACTATGATAATACAAGTAAATGAATAGTTACATACATGCAATACAAAAATATTCTTAAAAGTACCCTAAAACATAAGAAAAAATAATATAACGTAAGTCCTATACTAGGCAACAGTCCCTGCTGGACAACCCTAGGCTAACGGTAAACGTAAAAATGTAATACTTGAGTATCAATAAAGCTTTTTGTGAAAGAGTTCGTCCAGTGAAGTAGGTACTGCCACCTTACCTATTTCTGCCACCAAACAGAATGTGAGCATTAAGCCGGATTTACACTTGTCTGACGTGTCGTGTCGTGTCTTGTCAGAACGGTATTGGTTTCATACACACTAAACAAGCCGTCACGTCAGAATGTGCCACACTAATAAAAATCTAACCATATTAAATATATGAAACCGATACAGTTCTGACGCGTCACGACACGACATGTCAGATAAATATAAATCCGGCTTTACAGCGTTCCGATTTTGAAGGACAAGGGAGCTGGCGAATTACAGACTTATGACTTGTCAACCTTTGTCCCAAGGTGACGGGCGTAGTGATAGTGCTCCTCAGATCTTTGCGATTTAAAGTTCTGAATGCAGCTATTATGAACAGGCGGGTTACCACCAGGTGCACAATTTGTTTGTCCCGTCACTTGGTATATATGGTACATAAAAAATTTTTAGCTCATACATATGTACTTTCTCATGACTCATTAAGTAGAGGGTTGGTTTATACAGTAGATACTTGGATACCTGTAATGCAATAATTATCTTGTACAATGCATCCGATGACGACGACGTGCAACCGACCAGTTGGTATGTTATGACGCAACTTGACGTGTAACGCCTATTTCGGATGGATGCAGGGACCTACTCGTGCCACCCGAATTCCTTCAGGAATCTCAGCATCCTCCTGGGTCTGCTGAAGGCCTCGAGGAGCGGACTCGGCACTCCAAGGCATTTAGCGAACATGTACAGGACTGGTGTTAAGCGACACGCGTGTCCATAACAGTTGCAGTGCCACTCAGAGCGTTAAATCGCAAAGATTTGAGGGGCACTGCCACTGTGCCCGTCACCCTGGGACATAAGTTGACAAGGCCCACGTACCTGTAGTTTCACCAGCAGGAACGCAATAACGCTCACATTACCGCTTTTCTATGTAAGGTGACAGTACGGTCAAGAGCACATCACGCTTGACACTTAAGATTTAGATACAACTCTATGCTGCTTGCGATAAGAACGGTACAAAGTCCATAGTGTCAAGCTGATGGTGCTCTTGGCTGTACACACCTCCTTGGACGACCTCTTTCACTAGGAGCTATACTGCTACTAACTTGCCTCCTCCTCCATGCACGCTCTGCATGGAGGGCTTTTCGTGATACCTACTTACATTTTTTACAGCGTCCGTCTCCGACCCTTTTCTAGCCAGTTCATCTGCTGCCTCGTTACCACATGAACCGCTGCGTCCTTTAATCCACTGCAGAGTTACGAAACCGACCGAGTTACAAAGTCATTTGACACGAATTTGTGACGTTGTGAACTTTAATTACAACATACAAATAGTATAATAGTTTTTTAATTTCTATAAGTATTGTATCAGAATACGGTCACGTTCGTTTTCCTACTATATGAGTTTTCCACTGTAATTACGCCACAGCAATTTGTCAAGGTGGCTGTGTATTAATTGCAATATTATGGAAAGTAGATCACAGGTGTTTCAAATGTCGGCAGGAACCCGTGCGTCCCGCAGATTGGGTCGAAATGTCGCAACATGCTCACGCGCACCGTTCAACAGACCACCGGTCAACAATCCGTGAAATTCATTGCAATGTTTATGAAAAGATTTTTAGTATCTACTTCGAAAAAAATATATAGATAATTGTCCACATTTTAAAAATTTTAAAAATATTTTCTCTAACATCCTTAGATATGTTTGAAATTTCACTTTTAAGCATCATCGTAATTTATTTGAATTCGTCTCACGGGCGCGCCATTCTGAGCAACTGAAAACTAGATCATGTAAAACTGATCTACTTCAAAGAGTATAATAGTAAAGGCTACGAACGTCTTAGGAATTGGTTTTTTAGCAGTAGAGCTCCTTGTGAAAGAATTATTTCTACCGCCAGACAGTAATGTGAGCATTACTGTGTTCCGGTTTTAAAGGGTAAGGGTGCTGGTGAAATTACAGGCACATGAGACTTGTCAACTTGTGTCACAGGGTGACGAGCACAGTGGCAGTGCAGCACAGATCTTTGACTTAAAACTCTGAGTGGCACTGCAACTGCTATGGACAGGCGTTTCTCTTACCGCCATGTCACGACTTGTTCGTCCGGTCACTTGGTATCATAAGAAAAAGAATAATATATCTAGATAACAAATTATAGTTCTAGCTAGCAAATTCAGTTTCAAAAATTATATTCTTTAATTATTACCTTATGGCATTGATTTGTATCGTATTCACCCACACGTTTTCTCCTTATTGAACCCTATAATAAATGCTATATAGCCTCGTGTTGAAGTAATCTGTTATAATGAGAAAATGCCTCTATGTCTGTAATACCTCTATATCTGAGGTATCTGTAAATTTCTTCCGATAGATTACTGTAGCCTAGAAGGCATTAAAACAGCAGCCGTCGCTAATGGTCATCAAGGCATCCATGGCATACCAGAGGCGGCAGCGTTAATTTGCCACATCAAGCCGGCTCCGCGTAAAGCAGCCAACGACTGTTTGCAGTGTTAAAGCAACGGGCGTTTGGAATGCATGACCGATCGGCGACTGAGGAAAAAGCGCTCTCTCGCCGGTGAATGAAGCGATTAGCGCTGAATAGTGCGCCGGCACGCGGAACCAACCGCGCGACACGACGCGCGCGCATCCACGACGCGCATTGTCTCAGCTCGGTTGACCCGTGCCCCACGCAAAAACTAAACTCCACCAAAAACTAATAAAAACTCCCAAAAACCATCGGCATTTTTTTTTGATTTGGACAAAAACTCCGTGCCCGTTTTTTCGATTAAAAATATCTATCACAATCCTTTTATAGACTTCTCGTTGCGCCTCGACGGCTGGTACAAATGAAGATACCTTTTCCTCGTTACAATCATTGGCGTTGTATAGTTATGCTTTTTTTGCCTGGCACACTTTGAAGCAAACAAAATTCTTTGAATTTCTTTTATGATGACGAGAAAATTGATACTAATTATTATCATTATTAGTGGGAAACTAAAATGGAGTGAATTGGAAAGTTGTACATTTATATTCCAGAACTGGTTGGTAAAATTTAAATTCACACACAAAACTGCTCGTGTCGTTAAAGCGTGTCTATAACAAGGCGTTTGTTAAGCACCGTGCACGGTTGCATTGCTGAGGCGCAAATATAAGCCGCATCTCATTTACCTTATTAAGGAGAAGCGCACGGCCGGGCGCGTCACTCAACGTCTGCCGCGACGCATAAACACCTCCTTAGCCACCATCTATCGGCTCTCTAATCGGAACCTCACAGTCTCCGCACGATCTTTCCGCGTAGCACTTCACATCTAAGGTAAACACCTTATGCCCTTTGCGTTTGCTAATGAATGAGCTCGAAATTCTTCAATCTTTCCTCCTTATAATCACGCGATCTATCGCTACTGCCACGTAATGATTTAATGAGCTTCCGTGGGATATTTGATTGCTAATTTATTTCTTCGTACGCCTCGACAAAGCAATTTCCATCTGAAATTCGCAATTTTTTTTCATTAGTTAACGCAAATGTAAATTGGTTAGCGTCAGTTGAATAAACTTGCGTATAAGGCAATACATTTTTCGGAATTACTGCATAGCACTGGTTTTTATTTATTAGTATTTTTTAAATAGACACAGATTAAACATTATTAACGGAGAACCATCATAATCCTATTCATACAAGTCCCGAACTTAGAATAGAGAAATTCACAAATTGTATGGACAATCTTAATAATTTTTAATTGCTGTAGATCAATTAGCTTGTAAAAGTACTTTCTTTTCTTAAATAAATTATTATTATAATTTACTTTATTTTTCTCAGCTTGTTAACTGGTTTGAACCACATTTACGTGGTGGAAGTCAAGTAAACGAAGTATGCGAGGGGCGTGTATCTGCGAGTATGATCCTACGTCGTCCTCTTCCATCTGCGTGAACTTTCTCACAATGTAGCACGTATTTAAAATTATTAATTCTATTTAAATTTATTATTATTATTTTTATTGTTATTATTATACATATGTATAAGTACGTGTCGGAACAAACTAAAACTTTGATATTGAAAAGATGAGTGATCAGTAATTCCTCAATTCGGGATCGAACGGTGTGATGGATACTGGTCAAGTGAGCTAATGGGTTATTCAGATTTGGTAAATGTCGGGATGATACGCGAGGCGCAAACGGCCTGCGAAATTAACCAATTCGGCATGCTGCCGGCATGGTACTCGTAACGTGCTGCCTAGTAGTACTTAGACCGACTCTACACTACTAGCGATTCTTTACGTTAAAACTCTATAACGTATTATAGAACTACCGGATATCTTATACAGCCAAGAGAGCTTTCTTACGAATTATAACGAGGTCTTACGTTGAATCGATCGAACAATATATCTTTTCCTTTAATACATTGTACTTACATAGAGCGAGTCATTGTTCACATTGACATGATAAACAGACAGTACACGATTTTGATCATTTCTTTTTATAGCTTTATAAGTAATGTGTAGGTTGACTGTTTAACTGTGCGGAGATTATTACGAGTATTTTATTTGGGTGAATTCAAAAAGAAAGATACAATATTTATTTAGTCTCCTTGTCTTATAAAAAAATTATATATTGAAATCTAAAATCTTATCCACTTAGCATTTGCCGTAGACTGCTAACAGATTGACTGCATGTTTGCAATTAATACGTAATATGGTAATCAACTTAATGCAGCTGAGACCTCGCCTGCATGAAGTCGGTTTCAACTGCGTGAAATCGTTATCCGAGACCTCGACTGCTTGGAGTTGATAACGACTTCACGCATTAACTGCATGCAGTCGATCTCGGTTGCATGACGTCGGTTTTGACTGCATGCAGTTAATGCGCGAAGTCGTTGTTCGAGACCTCGACTGCATGAAGATGATTACGACTTCACACATTAACTGCAAACGTGCAGTCAATCTGTTAGCAGCCGTAATTTACATTATGGCGAAGCATTTATAGGAGTTCAGCCGTTTATCCACAGAAGGGGTAATGCAAGCAAATACGAGAAAAGTACTCGTGCACATTTCAGTGAATGTATGCTAATGTCAATATTAACGTATAACACCATAATAGCGGTCTGCCTGTTCCAGGAATTAATATTATACTACATAATACAAAATTCGACTAGATAGAAAGAAAAGAGAAAGAGCGGTTTTACAATCATCGTATACAATTAAGTCAAATAAGGTGGAATAATTACATGCCCTATTAAGGAGAATCATAAAAACTTGAGAATCACAGATACCGTAAAGACAATAGGCATTGTTTCTATGTAAATATAAGTTTGTCGGACCAATCAGCGACGCTGGAGCGGCAAGTAATTAAAAATTTAAATTAGGAATATCGTCCCCTTGTTTGACGCGGTTGGTGATTACGGAGCGTTAATTACGAGCGACCAATTAAAACGCGGGGCGACAAAGCGGGAGAGAAGTAGCCAATGGGAGGGCTGCACTGAAGCTAGGCGTGGTAATTAACAAGCGAAAGGGTTGATTTTCCGGGCGTCTCGCTACAGGGGCGTGCTATTAATCACCACCCGAAGGAGAGCCACGCCACTCCCGTGACTATGACTCCCTATTATGGATTTAAATAAAAGACAAAGACAGAACAAAGAATTACGAAAATTGCAATAGAAAATTACTTTCCACGTCTTTATGAAACTACGGTGTTTAGGTGTGTGACCGTAATTTGTTGTCATTTTGATCTTGCAAAGTAGTTACAAAAATCCACTTTTGAATGTTCTTGTACGTGACCTATTTTTTAGAAGAATTAAATACATCAAATATTGTAGTGCACCTTATATATTATAGGAATCTGAACAAATAGAAATAAAGAGCACATCATGCCAATTCACGTCTAGCGTATGAGAAGATAGCGGAATAAGTGATACTCTTAGAAGTAGCCGGAAATTACCCTAGACAAAGCTGCAATAACGCCTTTGTCCAGCCACTAGACGTAACGACCTGGCAACGTGGGCGACTTATGTATTCTTAAAAGCTATAGGTACATACCGAATACTTACACATAATCACGTGTCATAGATCTTTTACGTCACTCCGTTGAAAGTAACTTGATATATTTCTTTTTTCAAAAAACTTTTTACTTTTTTCTATTATGGTAAAAAATTAAAAAAGGCCGTTATTAAAATGTTATTTTATGCAATCGTAATGAATACGAGATTTCAAGACCTAATTATGTAATGATTGCATACAATACTTTTTCCACGAGTAAATAAAATTGGACTATGGAGCACTGCACTCTATGGATGTGAGACCTGGACCATCACAAAGAGAGACAGAGAGCGATTGGAGGCATTTGAAATGTGGTGCTGGAGACGTATGGAGAGGATAAGCTGGACCGAGAGAGTGACTAATGAGGACGTTCTGGGGAGGATTGGGGAACGGAGAGGCCTGACGGAGACGATAGAGAATAGGAGGGGAAAAATGTTTGGACATTTGTTGCGCAACGACGAACTATTGACGGTTGTTGTTGAGGGAAAGATGGAAGGAAGGAGACAGAGAGGAAGACCGAGAATGGCATTCTGTGACCAAATAAAAAGAAAGGTTAATATGAGCAGTTACAGGGAGGTCAAGGAGTTGGCTATGGACCGTGAGGAGTGGAGGAGGCTACACCGACAAGAGCATGGCTCTTAAATAAAATGAATGAAATAAAATTATGAAACAGCTCCAATACTTAATATATATTTTGTTAACAATCCATGATAACAACCGCAATTTAAAAAAAAAAATTAACCCATTTATTACGGTAGGCAAAGGTTCTACCATACAGCCACTTCATATATTTAGACGAAAGCCAAACGCTACAAAATAAAAAAACCAAAGGTATAGAATAGAACTGGCTAAGTACCGCATATATTTTAACCAATCATTTTTTTATAACGATTTATGGCCCGGTTATAAAGCAAGACTTTTAACTGCCTCCGTGGCCAAAAGGTTACCATGCCGGACTGCCACGCAGGTTCGATTTCCGGGCCCGGAGAAATATTTGTATGGCCTACATTTATTTATCTCGTGAGTTTGGGTATAATTTGTGGTTGTCTATATGTGTGTCCATGGCACCCGCGACACAGGGTTTCCCTACTGCGGGGTTATGTTGAGTGTGTGCGTATTATTATATATTTTAGGCCAATTTAACCAATCGGGAATCAGTATAGCGTTTGAGTAGCGTCATAATTGATATTTTAATTATCAAAAATACGACGTTCTTTTTTTTAAACTCATAATAGTGACAGAACTCTAATGAAATTTTTCAGCTCAGTGGCGAGTACCATAGACAATAGAATTTTGATTCAGAACAAAAAAGAACACCTTTATGATATGGTTTATGAAACTATAATTTAATTGGCAGATTAAATTACAGGAGTAGAAAAATTTATTTACTCAATGTATTTTAAGTAATGAGTGCGAAAAACTACTTAAGAATACTCTGTTGCAAGAAATTAGAACTCTACTGTGTTTCAGGCGTTTCTTTTTGAATATCAAAAATATCTGTATCTCATGGGTATGCAAATTACACTTGAAATTGTCACATTGATTGAACTTTACTACTACTCATTAGTACCTAAGACAAATTCCGTTTAGTTAGTAATTCTAGGGATTGTTCTTTGTAAATAGACAGTTAATATAAATATTTAATGTTACTGACGTGTTCAGTCATTCTGAATCGAAATTTCTGACATCAGCTGGTTACTACTGAGACGGTCACCACCCGAAGCTCTGTGATCGAAATTCCGCAGCCTGCTTTTGGGTGGTAATTCACTCAACCCTTATTGACTAGGCTTACATGTTTAGTAATTATTGCTGTTAGTGTAAGTGTACAATATTAATAGATAAATAGTAATACATTTATAATAATTTTTAATACAAAGAGAAAAAAAAACTAAGAAAGAATTCGAACCAACGCTTTCCAGCAAATCGTGCCAGACGCTGTGCCAACCACGGACAGCGGACCTTACGAATTTTTGTATGCGCTTGTTGCAGACCTTTATTTTGGTTTTTAAAGACTTTCCAAAGGAATGAAGGTCCGCTAGTTCGTTCCGTGGCATAGTTGGCATCAGTGGCGTTGTGTGCTAATAAGTGTTGTTTTTCAAATGTCACCAAGGCGCCTTTTTAACGGAAAAAGAAATTTTTGTTAAAATGCTTTTTTGTTTTTTCAAAA